TTTGCTGAAGAAAAATTAAGAGGGCACCAAAACTGGAAACAGGAATGACAAGAATTTTCACAGGTTAACTAAGCATATAGTTTGCAGGACAGCTGGTTCCCAGGGGCAGGGACAGGTACCAAGGTGCTCATCAGCAGGAGGCAAAGGCAGAAGAGACGGAGGCGTGATTTGAACACATTTGCCTTTCACTCCGACGATTTACCTCTCCTTTGCTATCATCCTCTGGTCACCTGAGTAATAGGCTGAAAGCCTTTCCACAGGGTGATATGGTTATAATCAGAAACTCACCAATCGAGTTTAATTATGGTTTTGATATTTCCCCATGGGTTTCACTGGTCAGACTCACTCAGGAGTAAGTAATAACAAGTTAACTAGACATTATTGAGGGGAAGGTGGAGTTGCCTAAAAGAGCTTTCTATGCTTACTGAAATTCACCTTCATATTTTTTTTCTTTTACTCAAAACTTTACAGGTTGTTGTCTGGATATACAACTCAGTGGATTATTATGTATCTCTCAATTCCTTGCTGAAATCATCAGCACTGATGAAAGGGGAGGTTTTAGTGTGGTTTGATTTTTGTGGGCATTGGGAGGCTCTCATGCAGGAGAACACGCTTACATAGGTTGCTAATGTGTAAGAGGACCTTTCTGCATGTAGGGGAACTGTACTAAGAGATGGGAGGAAGCTTCACAGTTTTGCCTTGGGATGCTTTGAAACATGTATTCTACACTTATTGATGGTTTATAGCAAATGAGAAAAAGAAGAAACACGAGACTTCATAGACTTTGCTCTGTATAGCTGGGCAGATGGTGGTACTGTTAACCGGAATAAGAGACTATCAAGTACTAGTAGCCTCTCCTTGTTCTTCCTTTTCAAAGCTTTCCTTGTTGTTGTCTTTTATTTGTCCTTACTGACTTTAAGATGAAATCATATTCTTTCAAAAAAAAGCACAACCGCCAGTTATTATTGGAATTGTATTAAATTTGTAATGAACAGAGAGAATTATCATCTGTATTATTTTGAGTCTTTTATCCAAGAACATGGTTTATCCGTCTGGTTCTTCAGTCTTATGTCTTTGGTGTTGTTCTGGAGATTTTCTTTTATCAGATAGATTTTCCATATTTCTCGTTAGGTTTATTTCTGAATATTTTACCTTTTGTATTGCTATTGTAGCGGAGTCTTTTCTTTTACTGTTTCTTCTAATATGTTGTTATAAGTGAAAGCTATTTATTACTGTATGTTTATTTTTTACTGGGCAATTTATTGAATTCTCTCACTGCTTATGATATTACGGCTTTTAGACTTCTTTAATATTAACACCTTACCTCCTAATTTCTTTTGTTTCTTTTTTGTTCTTTAACTTTTAAGTGAAGTGATTGATTTGATTATTTTCTTATTTTTATTTTATTGATATAATAATTTTAGATCTACGAGTTTTCCTCTATGCTTTGTTTTATCTTTATTTTATAGGATCTAATATGTAGTGATTTCATTATAAATGTTTCTAGAAATTCCACACTGTTGTTTGCGTTTTCTTTTTGATCCAAAAATTATTTAAAATAGGATTTTAAAAAATTCCAATGGAAGAATTCTAATTTCTGATTTTTTCAATAATTATAACTTTACTGATTTGTGATTAAAGAAAATACTAAAGTTTATCTAGTTGTCTATTTTTGAGTATTAATTAAAATACTCTGTGGTTAAAATCATACCATTTAAAAATATTCTTTGATCACATGAAAAGAAAATATATATTCTACTTTCAAAATGTGATGTATTACAATCAGGTACATAACATGAATTATGCTATATACATTTTCTATATCTTTGATCTGTTGTTGATTGAGAAAGGAGAAAGGTGAATTAAATTTAGCAAATACAGTGTGTTTCTTTTTCAATTTGTAGCCCCTATAATTTCTGTTATATGAATTATGTTTCTCTTTTATATGTTACCTATTTATCATTGTTGTGTGCTCATTTGAATCATGTCTTTGCATTACGATGTGCACTTCATTGTCTTATCTAATGTAAAATCACTCCTTATTTAACAATAAGAACATCATCTCTTTTTTTGTAGTTGTCCTGCTATACATTTGCCCATTTTTTAAACATTTCCAAACAGCTTTGTTTTAGGTGTGCCTTACATCCAGCATAGAATTAAATTTTGTTTTTGCTCTGCAAGCCAATTTGGAAGTATTATTATTTTAAATAGATAGCTCAGGAAAAGTTAGTGTGATGATAAATATGTATGATCTGAACTGTCATAGTATTCTCTGTTCTATTTGTTGTTTTTATTCATTTTTACATTTTTTCCCTTTTTTTGTGGATGGTTCTTCTGATACTTAGGAAGGTTTGTTGTTACTCTAATAGTTATTTTAACTTTACACAGTACTCTTAGTTGTCTGTTCTTCATATGGTATCTATTGATACTCTAATTTTAAAAATGATAAAATACTTTCTTTTTCTTCCCTGATTCCATTTCTTTTGTCTCCTACTTGATATTTGCCAATAAAAATGATCTTTTAACACTTTTACCTTATACTTCTAAAATCCTTATACTTCCATTAGTTGATTGATCAGCTTTAAATGTTTTTCTGTTGATCCTGCTCATTAAATAGTAGATGATCAGCGAACTTTCTCATCTTCACCCTTCCCATTCCAGTTTGGTTGGTTGTAACATTTCTCCATAATCAGAGCAAATAGTATTTACATTTTTGTCTGTCACCCCCATCCTCATATTTTTTTAAGTCTCAGTTTTATGGCTAAATATATCCCAAACTCTCCAATAATCCTTTTGCTAGTTTATGATATATGATACTTGATTCATTAAATTTAATCATTTAGCAAGTTCCTCAGGGAAAAAAATAAAAACATGGGAACAATATTCCAAGTTCTTAAAATTTCAGAATTGTTTGTAACTTTTAATCTTGGAGGATGATATGACTGGATATAAAGTCCTTGACTCCCAATTTTTTTAGATGAGTCTCCTGTAAATATTGCTCTGCTGTTTTCTGGAGTTGAATGTACCAATCTGAATTTTTGCTTTTAACATTCTTTTTTTAAACTTTACATTACTGAAATTTTTCTTAATGTTGACCATTATAGGTCACTTTATATGAATTCAAATATTCTTTTCCCAGATTTTGTGACTTTATGTTCTTAATTTTTAAATTTTTGGTGTAATATTTGGCCATAATGTTCAGCTTTTCCATTGCAACACTTTTTGTTGTTGAGTATATTGGTATGTTAGTAAATTCTTTTTTTTTAATTATTATTATTTTTTTAAAGATTATTTATTTATTTATTCAGAGAGAGAGAGAGAGAGAGAGAGAGAGAGAGGCAGAGACACAGGCAGAGGGAGAAGCAGGCTCCATGCAGGGAGCCCCACGTGGGACTCGATACTGGGTCTCCAGGATCACACTCCGGGCTGCAGGCGGCGCTAAACCGCTGCGCCACTGGGGCTGCCCTGTTAGTAAATTCTTAAAAAAGTTTTTTTTTGCCTTTTGTTTTTTTCCTTGGGTCTGCTATTTTTAAAATGCATTCTTTCATTTACTTAAAAAAAATAGTAAAATCCACTCTTCTGGGTGTACAGTTCCATGAATTTAGACAAATGAATATTGTCATGTAACCACCACTAGAATCAGAAAAGATCCATCCTTCCCCAAATTCCTGGGCTAATTTTTACTTAGCATCCTTTTGCTAATTCTATGTCAAATCCTTTTTTTTGTTTCTTTTATTACTTATCATTGAATGAGTTGGATTTCTTGGATCTGCTATTCTTAGGGTACTTCTGCTGGGGGTTGGAGAGGAGGTGCCTGGCAGTCCTCAGATCCCTCCTTCATCACTTACAGAGACTCCAACTGCCTCCTGTTGAAATGGCTCCTCCATGGGAGTCTAGCCACTAGGAACTTTACTGGATCCAAGAAGGCTTCTTCTGTATTTATTCCTATCTTTGCTACAGATAAGAGATATGTTTTGCATTTTGACATGAACCCTGCACCTACAAGCAGTATATTTTTGCAGTCATTTTCAGAGATCGCTGCTACTGGCCATCTTACTCTCTGCATTGCTTTGCTGCCTTTATTCTTGTGCAGTATACGCTAACTCTACTGGGCCTGGGTAACTCTCACATATTTTTTGGAGGCTGTGGAAAATATGTCTTCTAGTTTTGCTAAAAATGGATATTATGGAGTTTTTTTAATTCATTGTGTAGCATTTGTATGTTATCTACAGGAGAAGAAAAAAGGCACTGTCTCACGCAGCTATGTCCTCACCAGGAATCCTTTGGCTTCCTTCCTCCTGGCCTTCTTTCACTCCTCCTCCTTGGTTCACACTTGAAGCACTGGAACCCCTCAGTCTGCTAACTTCTCTTATTCATACATCAGCTCCTTAAAGCATGTGTGAATACCACCTGTTACATCTTAGACCTCTTTGTCATTTCCTAAACATATAACTTCAAAATTAGTCCACTTTTTTTCCTGTTATTCTGTTGGCTTGGAACGCCCTTTCCCTAATTAGTATGCCCTAGCTCATACTTGAGACTGAAAAAAAAGTATACTGCCTCCTTTAGGAACCCTTCCTAGACACCTTCAAAAGAAGAGGTAGGATTAATCTCTTAGCTGTGCTTTCACAATACATTGCTCCATTTTTGGTGCACTTATCTTGCTGTTTTCAGTATTTATATACTTTGTTATCAGGCCAATGAGTATCCCCTGCATTTATATGTTAACCTTTCAGCACAGAACTTTCAACTATTGTGTTTCTAGAAACTTAACTTACAGCTCCCTTATGATGGTCAGCACATACTCTCATTCAGTCTTAGTTGATTTTCCACTGATTAATTGAAGGTTACAGTATTTAGGGTCATGTAGGTTTTCTTATCTAGCTTTTGTTCTTAATTTCCCTACTCTTAGAATGTAACTGAATCTCTTATAGAATTGAAGCATTCATAAATTTTGAAAAAACTCAGTAACCATTAATGGAAATTCTTCTTCATTCCAGGTGATGCAACGGTGACAATAGCTCACAGATACACTCCCAAAGAACAACTGAAGATCCATACTCAGCTGGCAGATGTTATCATAGTAGCTGCCGGTAAGTCTTTAGTAGCTGTTATTTGGTAGAATGTCATCAGCAGAGTAATTCCTGCCCTAATTGCTGACATGTCTGTAAAAACAGCTTCTCGGGAGAGGTAGGAATACGTATGACTAACTTCCATCGACTGGATCCTATCTCTAGGCAGTTATTATATTGGTTCCTTGTGCCCACATTAACATTTGTCAGTTCCAAAAAAAAAAAATTGTCAGTTCATTATGGAAAACCCAAATCGCCTTTGGGGTGACAGATGAAGCACAAGAACAAACATGCACACGGCCAGTTCTTCACAGACATGGTTGAGTCTAAACATGAATGAGTTATGGGGAAACAAGTAGGAAATGCTCTTTAAAAGATAGCCAGGGCTAGCTCATATAGGACCTTGGCAAGGACCTGGATATAAGCCAAGGACAGCTGAATGCAGATTGATGTGGCCTGGCTTATGATTTTAAAAGAGTGCTTAAACTATGTCAAAGAGTGTGGACCCAAGAGGGGCAAGAGGAGGCACAGAGAAGAGGTATTGTGTTTTCATTTACGGGACCTGGGATTTTTCCTAATTTGTCTTATATTTGAACATACAAAATAATTTTATTCTACTTCTACCTCTACTCTTGCCACATGGTATTTCTACATTGCAGATGATTGTGATTCTTCTTGATTTATCCAAGGCTTGACTGAGAGCCTTTTTCATTTTGTTTATCAATGAGATGTTGCTGATAATTTCTAGACTTTATATTTGAATTGCTGGGTAGTGACAAACTGTAAAATAGAAGTTCCAGAAGAAATTGAGTTTGATGAAGAGTTTAAATTAGTTTCAGGCAGCCCTGGTGGCTAGCAGTTTAGCTCCACCTTCAGCCCACGGCCTGATCTTGGAGACCCGGGATAGAATCCCACATCAGGCTCCCTGCAGGGAGTCTGCTTCTCCCTCTGCCTGTGTGTCTGCCTCTCTCTCTCTCTCTCTCTCTCTCTCTCTCTCTCTCTGTCTCTCATGAATAAATAAATACATAAAATCTTTAAAAAAAATTTAGTTTCAACCAAATTTAGTTTGCTTTCTTAATCTGATCTAGGCCCCTCCTTAAAATTTGGGATATATATGTGATGACTCCAGGTAAATTAATTTGCTTCCTGATAGAGAAAAAATACAAATACTTATACTCCAAAAGTCTCCAGTAAGCTGGTACAGCTAATTACATTTCTGGTTTTTCTGAGACATTATATTCAGGTGACAATGAATGCTAATTTTTGAACAGAATTGACAGAAGGAAGACAGGTCTTTGGAGAAGCAATAAACTTTTTCAGACCCCACATAACATTAAGTGATATACTGCTGCAGCAACTGATATGTTTGCAGAAGACAAATATTATACCGACTTCTTTTTAGAAGTCACTTGGATTCACATACAGGAGTCCGCATTGGTGAGTAGAGAGGTGTTTGGCCATCTTTGTTCATCTCAAACTTTAGAGAGAATGAAATCTACATATTCTTGAAAAAGTACTCCTTGATTCTAATGTTAACGCTTGTAAATAATAATTCACAGTTTATTTTAGTTTCTATTTTTCAGTTATAATAGTGAATACTTTCTTCTAGTGAGAAAAAAAATCCCTCTATGTGCATTTATGGTTATGTTTTTCTTGTCATGGGAAGTGGCATATAGAAAATCCTCTCTCAAGAACCAACAACATTCTCTTGTGAATAAAGCAAGCTTTATGTTACAGACATTATTGCTACCACTGTCTTCATTTTTCAGTGTCTCCTACAGACTCACTGTATGCTCCTTTGTAAAGGCCTAAATAGGCACTGACTACAAGGTGTTAAAAAAGAAGATGGGAAAAGAAAAAGGAAAGTAAGGCAGGGAAGGGAAAGGAAAGACCAAGCCTATATAAAATCAACAAAATAGGAAGGAGCCTGGAGGTAGTCAGGCCTCTAGATGTGGGTGCAGTTTTGAGGCTCCGTCTCGCAGCCATCTGAGTCAGGGCATCTTGGTACCACTAGAGGGCACCAGGCGGGTACCAGCTGTGGTAGACAGACAAACTCCATTCACACTCCATCCCCGTCCTGGCTGGAGGACATTTTGAATGATGGTGGTATGAGCAGGTCTCGTGCCCTGCCTTGTATTCCAGCCTTAGTGCCTGTAACTAAATGCAAAGCTATGCAGAATGCTAGAAGACAGCCCTGTAGATAACCCTGCAGTTGTCCTGAAGAATAAATATTTGGATAATGGGAAATTTGGGGGAAGAACATTAAGAGTTTATAAGAAATAATAAAGAGTGCTCATTTCCACATCCTTAATAATCACTTGGAAAATTTAAGGATAAAATAGGTAGGTATCAGTAACTTACAGTGAAATTATAAAGAATGCACAAATTAACATAAAAAAAGAAATTCCATATCACCAGACAATAGGAATGAAATCTTACTAAAATGAACCACATCATGCATTATGTGTGGGAAATAAACAAATACAATTAGTGGGTATTAAAGAAGGAGATAGTGATCTAATGGCAGAGGTAGCTGGAACCGGGAGGGCTGGATCGTTGTCATAACTAGAATGTCAGCATATATGGAAACAATCCCATCTAGAAGTCAGGAAGAGTAGAAGGAGGAGTGGTGCATGATGTATCAGCAAGATCGATAACGTCTTTCGATAATGTCTGAGGGATGACAGTGAAGAATGTACTGACGAAATCTCGGAATGGGCTTGCAGAAGAAAAAGTAAAAAAAAGGAAATCATTGTGTAAAGATCCTGAGGCATGAATAGAATTAGCTTAGGTTAATATTCATCTTACCCCTCCAGTTTTTCAGATTCTCGTAGTCCTATCCTTATAGGTTTAACTCTGTATTGCTTCCGTTTTAAACATATCCCTGTGCATTCAGGATTTGGATTAATTTAGCTCAAATCTGAAAATCTGATCTTGTCAAGCTGTGCATTTAGAAATAAGAAACTTCAAGTCACTCCTCAGAGCTACTCTCTGAGTTCACATAGAGAATTAAACTGTTTCTGGGGTACTTTACTGTACCATGGTTATGACACTTACCTGTATGGTTGTCCATTATCTTCACTAGACTGTAGTAAGAATGGGACTGGTATTTCTTTTTTTAACATGGTACATAAGTTTTTCAAACAATATCTGACACGTAGTGAGTACTCCATTAATGTGTGTTGTATTCCTTTTGAAATCACAATTGGAGCAAGGACTTCAAATTGATACAAATTTAGCTGATGAATTTTTAAGAATATAATTTTATGAAGATGGAATCATTCTAGTTATTAGTTGATTCACATAGTGGTAGCGTTAGTAACTACTAAACATTCATAGTTTGTCATTGTAAAGTAAATTGATATAAAGTCATAAAGGTAAAAGATTTGTTCATAAAAAAGCAGTTTGTATCATTAAGTGGATAATTGAACTGATTTGATTTGAGATAATAAGATTACAAAATTCTGAGCAGGAGAAAGGAAAGTAGCCAGAATAGGGCATAATGCTAAGAGTGTATTTGAAGACCCTTCGTTCACTTCTATCTCATGCTTCCAGGAAAGTGTGGGAAATCCTGTCTGTAAAAGTTCTAAGAATCTTCATTATTTAAATAGGATAGGCAAGTTTTTTCCAGCCACTGTCTGAAGGACCCTCCACCAATATGAGGAAACTGTGGAACTAGCTTCATTCAGATGATGAGCTGCTGAGTCAATGCCACTTGCATACTATCTTCTGCATACAGAGTATCATAGTTGGTGAAAGCTGGCAGTTTGTCCACTAAGCCATCCCCTCCAGCATGATGAATGAACCTTTACAGTCGTAACTCCAGCGTCTCTATTGCAACACTTTTAATGATAGGCACTGTAATATAAAACAGGATAAATAGGCAATTCGGTCGAGTAATTTGGAGTATTCATACTTACTCGACATAAAATAAAGATGACCAACCAACTTCTCTTCATGACTTCTCCCATCATATCATCAAGTTTTGCATGTGCTGCCATCAGATGCCCTCTTAGGTTCTCAATAGACTTCCGTTGGATTTCCTCTTCCTTGGAGTAGGGTTAATTATTTTCAGGAGGCCAGGACACTGAGGAATTCTAAGGGGTGAGGGATGGAAATCTGCTCCATCATCCTCCATAGCTCATGCAACTTGGGAGTGGAACTTGCTCCTTTACAGCCCTGGGTGCCTTCTGAGTGCATGCCAACACGTTTCACGGCTTCACTATTGCTTTTGTTCTTTTCTTATTTCTTATTTTTCATCTTGCCTCTTTAGCCTCAGTCTCTCCACTTAGAAGTCCTTCCTGCCCTCCTAAATGTCATTTATCTCAATTTTATCAGTTATTTTCATGCCATAAATGCACTGTAAATACACTGAGTACTGTAAATGCACTGGCCTTGCCAGAGTGAGAATTCTAGAATTTAAATTCTACCTCTGTCACTCGCTAATTGTCTAATCTTAGTCAAGTCATCCCGCCTCTGAGCCTCAGTCTCTTTAATGTGAAGAATAATCTCTAACATAGCATTGTTAAGCCAGCCAATCCAGGCAAAGAATATGGCAGTGACTAGCCTATTACAAATACTCAAAAAGTGTTGTATGCTAATATGTTGTATGTTAGTCCTTCTTAGACCATTGCACATGAATTTAAACAATAATTTAGAAACAATAGATCAGTTTATTATTAATCTACAACTTCTACATAACTAAAGGAATATACTTTTGGTTACTTTTGATACTAACATAGTATCAAAATTGACTGGTCATCATAAACTTAAAGAAAGTGACCTACAGATACGAGACCAGCTTCATAAAAGCTCTATTTTTACTTAAGATTTGTGGCTTCTCGGGATGACACCAGCTTTTGCTCATAGCTGTGTATTCTTTTGTCCCTGGATGAATCCCTTGTGGCCCTCTCTTTTGGAATAGTTGGACTTGTGAGGGGTTTCTTCTCTCAGACCTTACCCCCACCTTCTCAATCTCCCTCCTTCCTTCTTACCTCTTTCCCCTCCCCCATTGTAGCCTC